TGTATGTATCTTTTTGTTAAAGTTAGCTGAAATAAATGCCTAAAAGTATGCTAAAATATATTGCAAGCGATGCATCGGAGACGTCGCAATGGGTTCATTGCAAAAGAAGACTGCAGGTCAAAATTTATATTGCACTTTGAACGTTAAGCAGATTTAAGTACCAGCTTACATCCGGTTTAATTTTCCAAAGTCTCGACAAGACTCTCATCCTCTTGTACCAATTGATAAAAACATGGCTCACAGAACGCCCAGATCATTAAAAAACAGAATGTGTGACATTTTGTCAGGCATAATAATAAAATTACAATTGCAGCCCGTTGGCGGCGGCAAACAATCCGGCGGGGAGAAAATGTGCCAAATCAGCGCAAAAAACTGTGGGGCGTCTCTTAAGGAAATGTCAAATCAAATTTATTGACTTTCATTGTTCGTCGGAATGGAGGCAGTGACTCCTGCTCCTGGTGGAAGCCCTGGGCTCATTGAAATGTGAAAAGCCAATGACAGGGGACGAAGGGCTAACAATGTGCACCTTTTTTTCTCTTCTTCTGTCGCTGAATCCTGTTTGGATTCTACTTGTGGCACTTGTCGATTTGTCCTGCACATTCCCCATTCCAAATCCGTGTTTGTGCGCGATTAAAGCGCCGCTTAGCACGTTTGAATGCCTTCCATCCGACTTTACCTCCGCCATTTCGGATTCTCTGAGACAATCAGCGGAGCTTTCTTCTCAGTCCCCCTGCAGTATTACGATTTTTACACTGAACAAGAAAGAATTAAAAATAATTAATAATTCATTCATATATTATACTGAATTCGGTCTTGAATTACAATTTGGTAAATATTTAAAAACCTCAAAAATATTGCATTATTATTTGAATTTCGATTGCCATTTTTTCTCTCAGTATATTCCCTCTTGATTTCCAACAACTTTGCACAATGCCTGCAGGCAAGCTATAAAAATCATATGCTTCCGTTCATTGCAAGGGGTTGGCTTTAGTTTTTATGCTGCTTCGTCTATAGCTGACTTTCTTTGTGCCCAGCTAAGTTTGACAATTATTTGCATTGTTCAGTGAAGTCGTTTGTTCAACATGCACATGAATCGGTAACTACAACATAAGTGAGTCCCTGGTTATAGTTCACAATCGGACAAGTTGGGTTTGTTAGGCAGAACGACTCTATTGTGCACTGTCCATTGAATCTGTCGGATGGCAGTATATAGAGCCAATCCGGCGATGTATAAAAAGTGGACAAGAGATAAATTCGAGAAAGGGATGTTTTGCCTGGCTGTTTTGTATCATTAGTAGGTCAATGATGCGGGTTTAGGAGTAGAGTATATTTTTGGGATAGTTTCGAATGCAACTTGTAAAGGCTTAACACTTTAAAACCCACTTTTAAATAAAGATTTAGGCCACCAAAAAAATAAATTCCAAGCCCAATTTAATTTTACATTTCTTCCAGTTTTCAACGCAACAGTTCTCGCATTATTCAAGAAATTCACTTTATAAACTCGCCTGCTCTTTGGATTCTGCAACCAATTTTCTTCACACGAATATGCAAAATAAATGTTCTACGCTTGACCCGAAAGCCTGTTGCCTTTGTCATTTGAAATTCCGGCCAGGATGAGAGCGGCCTGTTGCCAGAAAAAAAAAGAAACCACTTCTTTTAGATAGAATTTTTTTCCAGCCCAGCCTTTTTAAATGGCTCTTTCCGGTTCCGGTTGCGTTACGTTTGACTTGCCTGCACGTAAATTTCGTGGCATTTTGTGCAAGAGTTGTTCGGCTGTTCTTCTCCTCGCTAACTTCACTCATGTCGGCGGTAAATTTTAGTACAATGCATATATAATCTTTTTCACTTATCTTTGCATAGTTTCCTTTCGCTGTAGCCCAAAAACTTTTTACGGTCTGAGGTTAAAAGTAGCGTCATACATTTCCCACGCCCACCAAGCAACCAAACTCCCGAAGCTCGAGATTCGCGGCGCGTTGAGAGCTATGTAATGAATGAAAAGTTGGCAGGGAGTTGCAAAAGGTTGTGGCAAAAAGGTGCACAGGCATCGCAATTTTTGCTGAATGGCTTGGTTTAGTTTTTCGTACTTGTCGACAATCTTGTGACAGATTTATGGGTTAATTATTGTGAATAGTGCAGGTGGAATCGGATGTGAAATAGAAGCATGGCTAAAATCTCATTCGTTTGATTAGGCACATGAATAGCACTGAGAAACTTGTTAGCCAGATATAGAACAAATTTTTCGGTTGTTATAACAAATTTTGTAATAAAAAATGTTCAGAAACTTTATATTATTTTAAGGTAAGATATCACTAATCAATGAAACTATCTTTAAGTGCACGTTGCTTACTATTTTCTCAGATAATTATTTTATATTGAAAATGGACAAGGAACACTCATCGAAAATTTCTTTACATACTAAAGTGACTGCCGTTCCTTCTAACGGTGATCATAACGGCTATGATCTATATATGGCTATTTGGGAACTGAGTGTTAGTATGGGTAACTTCGACCACGATGCGGAAAAATCTGTGAAATTCCTAACCGAAAACAATACATCTGAGGAAAATCCATTCGAGTTGGTTTTGCTTAACGGTTTCCGGATGCGATTCGAACAACTGCAGAATGGTACGGATCCTGAGGAGCACACTCTTCACGAGACTCGGGGAGATCTTTTTATGCGTCTCTACAAGGAGCTGGTGGAAGTAGAAACGGATGAGAAAAGGAGATACGAGTTTCTTTATCTTTGCTTTGAACTCTTCGATTCCGTCTATCCAAAACTTAAGGGGCGTAGGAACTCGTTTACCCATCGAGTGGAACTCATAGATCGGATGCATCTTCAGGTTAAAAATATATTGCATCGCCTTAATGGGTCTCCAGATGTCCACGAAAGTTCTTCAGAAGTTCTTCCCTCATAAGTATTTATTTGGAATCTAAAAAGGCAAGTTGTCAGGACTTAAGTGAGGAAATCATATATCCTGTGAATGAAATCGCATCTGAGGAAAGCCTGAGCGGAGAAAGTTCCTTAGACTCCCTTACTACGGTTTATTTTAAATTGAAAGAGCCCAGTCAATACTCAATTAAAAACATTCCTATTGATAAATGTTTAAGTAAGGAAAATCATTTACCAGCAAACGAAATTTTATCTAAAGAAAATATAAGTACAAAATTGGAATCGAGCAGTGTGCATATTGATACATTGCAAATTGAAGATTACAAATTTATTATGGTTTGTTCAGCTATGACTATTTGTCGTTCAAAAGGTATCAGAATTGAGAAAGAACTCTCTGTGAGTACTAGTCAAGAAGAAAGTTTGGAAACTTCTAATAACTGTCAGGAAAAAGGCATAATCTTCAAAATAGTTCCTAAAATCGAAACACTAAGTCCTTCTAAGAAACATTTTCTTGAAACCCGTATTCCAGTTCGAAATGTTTCCTCTACTAATTGTAATTCTATAAAAGTTTCAAGTAAAGATCAAGGAAAGGCCTCGAATGACGTGATAAATGATAAATCTGGAGTTGAATCTATAGATGATAAAATTAATGTTTCTAAGAAAACTCGTCCATGACTTAGATACTGTACCAAGTAGAGATAGGTATTTTAGCGAAAGACCTAAACGTTGAGGAACCTTCCTTTATGTTTTTCAAGCATCAACAGCGAAATCCGAAAAACATTCTCCTTTTAACTTAAAAAAGATGATTTATTTATTTGATGACTTTCAGAATAAACTAAATACTGTAACTGAAGTAACAGAAAAAAACGATTCCCAAGTTTTGATATCAACCAAAACATCTACTGAAGATACTACTATTTCAGATGAAAAATGGATCTTTTCGGAAAGTGATTTAGAAACAGAGGAAGAAAATCAAACTATAAGCACCATTAATTCACAAAGAAAATTGTCCGTAGAAAAAATATTTAAGGATAAAACGAAAATCAGTGTAAAAAATTCAAAATTTACTGATGAGCTTCGTCGTTTAATATCACCCAGTAAAGTGTTTTTAAAAAATTCGGGCTTAAAATTAAGTCCAGAAAAATTGAATGGAACTATTTGTACGCAAGATGATCAGAAAAGCCTTTCCCCAGTTTTAAGAACGACAAAGAAGTTGGATGGATCCCCACCATTGTGTTTAGATAAAAACCATTCCACTGAAAAAAGCATTGATAAGAAGGAAAACTGTAAAGATTTGGATAAGGTGGGTTCCCCAAAACCAGTTAAAAGCTACAATGAACACCAGGAAGACTTTATGCCATCTTCAGGAAAGCTAACCATTGCACTATCTCTGGAAGATGATTTGATCGATGATTTGAACTTTAAGTTAAAACCATATAAATCAAAAGATTCGTTCGCTAAGAAGTTGGATAAGTCCTTGCCGGTATATTCAGAAAATTTGATTAACGTAGATGACATAAAATCAGTTAATAGTAATGACTATAAAGAGTTAAAAACGGCTTTAGAAGTGTCAACTATTAAGGATGATTGCTTGGTAAAAGATGATCTGAGCTATAAGTCAACTTCAGATAAATCAAAAGAACTTTACGCTGAACAGGATGATCAACAAATGCTTTCACCTATATTAGATCGAATTTCACAAACATTTAGTGATGTTAAGCTTAATGTCTTAAAAGAAACCGAAAAGTCTTTGTCAGTTATTTCAGGAATCAGTTTTAGTATGGAAAGAAATCTTAAGAAGGATGGTAATTTAAATGCTGTTGAAGATGAACCGGTGAATATAAATTTACCTTCGCCTAATTTAAGCTTATATAAATCTGATGAATGTAACTTGGTCAATGATAATTTAGTCCCTGATAAACTTGAGCAAAATCAGGAAATGATTTCACCCATATTGAGTCAAATTACACAAACTAGTAGTTATGTAAAACTACATGTATTAAAGGAGGTGGATAAGTTTGTGTCTGCGTTTTCAGGAAGAATAAACCTTATTGACAAATCTACTAATAAAGACACAAGCCATGAGGAAGAAGATTCTCTCACAGAGGAGGACTTAGTATCGTCATGTTACTTAGGAACTAGCATATCTAATCTAGAATGCTCTAGTCTGAGTTGTATGCTAGCACCCCCTCTTAATGAAAATGTTGACGAACAAGACAATCAGGAAAGGATATCACCAATATTAACTCAAATTTCAAAAACGGTTAATGACATTAAGTTCAATATTTTAAGGGAAGTGGATAAGTCCCTATCGGAATTGACTTTAAAAAGTGCTTCTGATATTTTACTAAGGAAACGATCTGAGTCAAAAACTTTAAGGAGCTCTTTAACTGACAGTAATGGAACCTTTGAAATATCTGAGCTCAACTTAAGTAACGATACGGATACATTTGGGTCCCAATCGAGCATGCGAAGTGAAACTTCTTTAACTTTACCACTAGCTGAGGAAAGTGATGGCATCCCTAATTTATGCAAGCAATGTGACATTAAAGTAAAATACTCACAGAAGGTAAATGAATATTTATCTGAAGGCTTGACTATAAGAAGGATAAAGTGCAGAGATCATCCCCAATGGGAGCATCAGCGTCACATTATAGCAGCTCCTCGTGTTATTATTAAAACATTCAAATCGAATGCGGCATACAAATGGTTTCCTAATGATCCCAATGCTCCCGATTTCTATGAACAGTTGGATCAATTTTTTGAGGTCATAGGCCAAAGGGGAAGTTGCGCAGACTTCAATATATCCTCGATTCAGTTACGATTAAGCAAGATTCTGATACGCATTAAGACGGACGCCACCGAGCATATAAGTTTCCCTGAATGGGTAGCTATAGTGGGTACATGTAAGTTCCAGCACTTGCTCACTGCGCAGGAGAACCGCGCATATGAGTCGTTGCGTTGGATATTGAGGGATAAGGGTGATCAGGATCTATCTCCAGAGTCTCGATTCACTGATGCCCTCCACGGGATAATGGGATACGGGTCGCCACACTTAAAGATGTCATCCTTGACTGGCCGGCTTCATTTACGTTCACCTCAGCATCAGGATAGCATTAGTGATTCTTATTTGCTGCTGACCCTCGGCCACTTGGGATACATCTATCGAGAGCTGAGGAGATATCTGACAATTATTGAACAAAAGGGAGAAACTGGTGCTGCTCTTAAAAAGTGCTTGCAAAAGTACCTCCTGAATTTTCATCAGTTCTATAACATTCAGAAAAGGAATCCTAGTAGTCTCCTTTGTTTGTACCGAAAAACTCGTAGCTTTCTGATGCAATATCAGTGGCTTTTGGGTGTGCTTAAAAGAATGCAAAATGAAAAATCAATTTTGATTTCACTTTATGAAGAATTAGGCCAAAGATTTGGATCTCAAAGGTACTTATTGCTAAAGTGGTTAAGAGTGGTAAGCCAACCATTCCAAATTAGACTCGTTCACTGGCTATCTAGCGGTCAATTAACTTCTTTTAATTTTGATGAGTTTTTCATTAAAAAGAGTGAAAACTTAAGCATGGAAGACTTTTGGCAGAGGCGTTATCAATTTATAGAGATTTTCTCTAGGCTATTCCATCCTCAGCTTGGTAAATCTGTAATTAATGTGGGCAAGACTTTGGTTTACTCACGGAAGTACTTGGGCATCAATGTGGGGACTTGTCTGAATAGCAAACAACTTCGAAACGTATTGCAAAATAAATTTGATCAGTTATTTCGATATGGCGATAAGGAACCACTCTATGAACTGGTTCACGATCTGCATTTCCAAGTATCTGCCGAGGTCTTGATCCACCTTCGAAAGATTAAAGCCAATCCGGAGTATCTCTTTTCTCAGCTTCACAAGTACATATTCCTTGCGGATATAAGCTTTGTCAGAGAGTGTATCGCAATATTTGGCCACCTTTTTGGACAGTCAAAAAGCTCTTTTAATACTCAAGCTTTCAATGAATTGAAAGATAGAATGTTAAGCAAATTCATTCCAGAGCTATATATTGATAAAGGTAACAGCGAAGGTACCGAATGCTGGTCAGTTCTTGTCTTCCGCTGGAGGTTTCCGAGTGAATGGATTGCTCTTCTCGGCACTGATGCCATTCTATATGAAGCCACCTCTATGGCTTTATGGAGATTCCATTATGTCAACTATATCTGTGAAAAGATCTTTCAAAAGCAGACAACATTCCGTAATCGTGCCGACTTCAAGTATTTCAAAGATCTCCTTAAAACCGACAATAGTTTTGCAAATCTGATTAAAATTTGTCTCAACTTTATACAAATTTTAAAGGAATATTTACAAAACGAGTTACTAGAATCTGAATTAGTAAGACTTTTGTTAGCCTGCAATGAGGCTAATACTCTGGACGATATATTGACAGCGAATAGAATATATCTGAGGGCCATTAAGCTGGGGACTCTGCAAACAAGAAGTCTTCGGAAATGCAATCATTATCTTCAACGACTTTATAATTTTATACTAAAGCTCGATGGCAAGCAGGAAGAATTCTTGAAAATATCTAATGAGACCATGGATTATATTATTAATGATCGGATGAATAAAGCCCACGCTTTGCATTCTAGTTACTACAGGGATCAAAAGCTGCATTTTTGTCGGACTTGTCAAAATTACTCGGATGTCATCGATGATCTAAAGAAGCAATTTAATTCCGCAATGATAAGCTTTTTGTTTAGTCTCCATTTAGCAGATGAAGATTCATTGAGGTTGCTTGCTTTAAAGTTGGATCCCGAGGGCTATTATGGAAGAAAGGAAAGAAAACTAAATCTTGTTCAAGCTTTTGAGTTCAGAAGGAAGGCTAAATGGTACAAAGCGGTTAAGAATATGTAACATTCCTTATATTTATAAATAATATAATCATAATTTTTGTATTTTATACTTAACTTAACTCCTCGCTCAAGTTATAATTTATCTAGCAAAAAGAATGGGAGATAAACCTCTTTTTTGGCGCTTTGTCTATACATAAATTGGATTTTAATTGAAAATTAAGAATCGACTTAGCAATGTTTGCATTGTGCAGCAACTGGAGAAGCCTTTTGTTATGCAAATGTTCTTTATATTGTGGTCCCGTGTGAATAGGGACAGAATGGAGGAGGAACAAGCCAAACGACTGTGGGTTCGTTTAACTTAAAGAAAATAATGGAAAATTTACTTTTTGGCTTAGGTTTATAGCTGTGGCCAAATGGAAAATCCGACACGAGCGAGTTGGGAATTTGGCTTCATCTGAATTGTAATTGCTCGGCGAAAATTAAATCAAGTTTGGGTCCTCACTTTTCATATTTTTATTAACAAGTTATGCCAACACTTTTCTAACAGCACTCATCTGCATAACTTAATTTTCCGAGAATCCGCATGGAAATATCTGAGCGCCCGAATCTCTGCCAAAGAAATGAACAATGGCGAAAGGATGGCCCAGTCTTGAGCTCTTTTGTTATCTGACAAACACAGCTGGCAGTCATCTCAGCCAGTCAGCCAGTCCTCCACATATCAGCAACTGAGCTGAATGAATTATAAAGCACAGCCGCCTTCAAAAAAAAAAAAACGTAAAAGAAAAAATGTCAAGAAGATAATTGAGCCCAGGCAGAAGGCATTTAATAAACTTGATTGGTAAGACCGGAAGGAGTGGCACTCCGGGGAAGGTTGACAAGGTCCTGACATGAGTTCGCTTTGAGAAAAAGTTAAGTTAACTGGGTGACTTGCTCGACTGTTGATTAGGGAAATTAATTTCATAGGAAATTGCCTGCCTCCGATGCGTTTTTGTTGATAAACGAGCCATTTATTATGTGTGTTGATGTGTGGGCTGCTTTTTTTCCATTTTTATAAACGAAAAACAATCACCTTTTCATTTGGGTACTGGTTTTACTCATAATGATGTGTGGTTATAATTAAAGACAGTAAATTTCTGATGTACTTATCAAATACCCATTGGACCACCTTTTTCACTTTATTAATTGATGAAAAACCAATATCATCAACGATTTTATCTTTTGGCCCATCCCTGTAAGTCTGTGTGCCACGTCAAATTAAACTATAAAATTTATTATTATGCCTGTTGACATACTTGAACTGTGCTAGGCAATAAATTCCATTACAAAGTTGCCATTTTGGCTCACAACGTCTCCTTCCAACGGCACCCCAGTCAATGTTATTGACAATTTGTTGTCAGTTTTTCTCGCCCAAACACAGAGCAATTTATGTGGCCCGAGACCCGGCTTTATGAAATACTTCTCATTACAGAAGGGAGAGAGGGTGGAAATGGTCAGGAGCCGATGGCTGGAACATATTCGAACTATTTTCATTTCAATTGCAAACGGTTTGGCGCAGAGAAATCAATTGAATTGCCATTTCACATATGAAATGGTCATTTGTCAATGGACAACAATTGGAGGGCGTGGTCGCAGCTGGTTTGGATGGTGGATACTGGATGCGGTCAGTCAAAATGGCCGCATAAATATGTCCTTCTCGTCCTGTGTGTGAACGATCTTCTGGCATTCTCCCCTTCATTCCCCATTTCGATGGCTAAATTGTTGGTCGTTATTAAATTTCCGCTGCGTTGAGTTCTCATTTCCGTTTCAATGGCCAATGCAGCTGACCGTCGTTGAATGCTCAACGGATGTTGGCCTGGTCCATAGATATAGATATATATACTATATATACCCATATTCGCATACGTGCGTTATATAAATATTTTCAGTTCTAGATGGATAAACAAAGGGGTGAAAAAGGCTTTTCAGCGAATGTGTGTAATATTCGATTATTGTTTTTATTATAATTTTTAAGAGCCTGCAGAACAGCAATCCCCATTTATCCAGTATTTGTGGCGATCAAAAATTGATTCTACAATTGAAATGCCTGTTAGTATATGTACATTGTACATGTGTATGCGGCTTTTTAGCCAAATTGAAACTAATTGAAATATGTGGATTGCAGAAAACAGCGAGTAGTGGAGAGTGGGCGAAACTTTTGCCATAAATTTCAATAAAACGGCATTTTTGGTATTTTCCTTTATTCCAGTTGTAGTTCTCCTTTATAGATGTGTGTGTTTGTGTGTGTGTTTTACGTTTTATTGGCATTACGTATACGCCGTGACCCATTTATTGTTTCGTCAGCATAACTTTACATTATGTTTTCCCTATGACTTCTTTGGTTTTTTCCAGAAATTATTTACTATTTGAGTAACTTTCTTATAGTTTTTGTGTAGAACTTTTGTAAGCTTCTTATTATCGAATAAACCATGACTTTTTTCACTAATTTGACCGCTTAATTAGATGGAAAATTTCTTAAAAGTTATGTTGCCCTAACAGACCATTAAATATTATGGGTTTTAATGAAAATATAATGCAATGCCCATCAAAGGGGCTCCCTTCTCGCTCCTTCCCAAGGGCCTCCTTTTATTGTTGCCTTCTCTTTGTGGCTGCTGTGTCTTGGCCAAAAAAAGAAATAAATAACAAAATTATTCAAAATTATGGGCCAGCTTCCTGACCTCCCCTCTTTTCGCCTTAACCCTTGTATGGGTGAATGTCTTATTCCTCGCCCTAACACTTTCTTATATACCCAAGTTTTTATTACAAAGTAAAAATATAAGAAAATGCATTAGAAGAGGCGCTAAGTAAATATTAAAATTTCTGTGCCCTGTGCGAGTTGAAAGAGCCAGTTTGGGCGGTTTTATTATTAAATTATTATTATTTTCGCCGACTAAACAAAGCCAGTTAATGGCTTCAGCTGCCGGACAATGGTTGTTTATTTATGCCCTGCGCTAATGGACAGCGCGAAATCGCTGAAAGAGTTTGCTTCGGTGGATATTATTTATTATCGCCGCCACCGCTGCGAACAATAGATGTAATATTTATTCATTTATGTATTGATTTATGGCTGGGCATTTAAATCAAAATCAAGGCAAGACTGCTGAACATTTTATCAATTTGATAAGCCTATTTATTATGATGTTTTCACTTTTCACCGCTGGAGTGGCCTCTCCTCCGCTTTGAAGAAATTTATGCCTTTACTGACCACAAAAGATTCATCTTCATTTCATCTGTCCAACTACTGCCCCAACTACAACGTTCACCCATTCTCCAGTTATCCTCCCAAGGCCCAACCACCCATGCTTGATTAGTTGATGACACTTTGTGCAAAAGACTGAACTCTGCAAATGCCATGTATATATGGTTACATACACTTGCATTATATTTTAACCTTTTTCTGTTTTTTAATATTAAAAAAAATATTATAAGGGTAAGAAAGTTCAGTTAAGCGCTTGAAATTAACATGTAATGCGATGAGCATTTATATTACCTTTTACTAATACTTATTAGAAAATATTATTTTTGGCTGGATTATTTCTCCGTGCATGTGTATACACATGCCTAGCTTCCCTATACACAACTTGCCCCAGGCGATATGTCTCGCTCTGCGGTGCTTGTGGCTAATTTGATAAATATGCACGCGTTTATTCAAATCAATCAGAGTCAGACGCCGACGGGAGATGGTGGTGGGTGGAATGTCTTCGAAAGGAGAGGACAAGTCATTGGCATCGTCTTCAGTCGACTTGCCACCGCTTCTGATTATCTCCACTCCTCCATTCAGTGTGCATCTTGTGGCATATAAATTTCAGCTGTTTTCCTCGGAGCACACATCTGCACATACTCGTACATATGTATATTCATCCGCACACACACAAGCTTCTCTCCTTGGAGATTTCATTAATGTGCGGTTAACTATAATGAGCCTGGCATATAGAAGCACACCACGGGGTTTTCTGGTTAAGTTGGGCTAACTGAAATCTTTTACGGTATCAGTAGGTTCTTAAATGGGCCAATTTATTGTGCCGGAAATTCAAATTATCTCAGCTACATTAGTCCAATTGACCCTACTAATCTTGGTAAGCTTTATTGTATGTTTTCTATAGAGGTAAAAGCATATATTTTGAAAAGCATTGATGAACTATTGGGTCTTGTACTATTAATCACTCGTCTGTTCAAATTTTTACATTAAATAGATGAACAAAAACTTATAGTACTCAACCAAGTTAGGAAAGTTCTTTGAGCCACATTCCAAACTTATTTTCCATCTATCATGAAAACAGTGCTCGCAACTAACCACAAACCAGTGTCCCCCTTTGTAATACCTTTGGTAAATTAACTGCCCCACATTTGCAACTTCATTTGAAGGGGTTGTCCGCCTTGGCCCACATGTGGCACATATGTTGGGAAAAATTTGTGCGGTGTGACCGCAATAAATCACAATTGAAAATGGCGAAAATAAGTTCACTCTTAAATCACTTTGGTCCATGGATGGCATGTTTGTGGAGGGTTTTGCTTACGCACATTTGCCTAATGAGTTTAGAAATCTTGAGGGCCCATATAATATATATATAGGATGTTATAAACTATGCAAAAGATTCCCCAGCTTACAGTGTTTACCTTCAACGGGGCGGACAATCAGCATAAACTCCGAACGCAATCAAAATGTTGAAATAAACTTAACAAATCCCACGTAAACTTTGTTGTTGTTCTTTTTCCGCTGCACATTTGCTTCCACCTGTCAGCGGGTAAAATTCGTTCTCTATGTTTAGTTCGCCCAACGGTTGACTTCGTTTTCAACCTCCACGAATTTCTTCGTTGCACACTCTGCGTATACGTAATAAATTTCAAAATTGCCAGAGGAAAACTGTCCGCAAAAGTGTAATTGTAATGTTTGCTCTCACACTCGCCGCCTTTATCTTAGACCGTGTGCAAGGGGTTTTAGTTGGAAAATCTTGTATTTGCAAAGCGCTTGGAAATGTGAGCGAGGACAGCTCCTTAATCTATGCTACACATTTTTTGTCACCAAAAGGAGTGTGTGCGTAGTTATACGTACACGAAATTGCCAGCTTTACTTTCAAAAGGGTGCCAAGTGTTGACTCGAGGGTGCATTGATAGGAAGGTTGTTTCAAGGTGTTTACATTGGTATTGAGTCCACTTTTTCATGAAAAATCATGAAACGATTTCTCAAGCGGTTGCATTTGGCCAACCTTTTACAAGTTCCCGTCGACTGTCCAATAAATGTCAGGCATACATTTTGATATCCAGTTTCAACTTGCTTTAATCACGCACTCGACGACATTCCCGACACTTGTCTTGAAGGGAATTCATTAAAAAAAATGTCTTTGATAAAAGGACTAAAATGTCGTTTCTTTGCGTTTCATTAAACGATTGGAAAAAGTTTCAGTTGAATTTGACATGAGAAAATGTCAAATTACATTACGTTAATTTGGATTCCATTTCAAGGCGCACATTTCATTTCTTGAGATGCCAGCAGTTTTGCTTAGCTGTTTTTTTTAAGTAACAATAGAGTAGTAGGAAATTTGAATTTAATTAAAGTAAATACAGTTTTAAAAAGTCAATAGAGATCCCTAATAAAAATCCGATTCGAAATCGGTTTTAGTGAAAAATTGTTTATTTGCACCCGTACCAATATTTCTTATTGCTCGTTGT